TTGAGAAAAAGAAGAAACTAGTATCAGAGCAGAGTTAAAACAGATTTCACAAATTAGAGTATTTAGATAGTCCAGTGTGACAAAAGGTGTGCAGAGCTCCTAACAGTACTTTTTCTAAGAGTGTCCAGTTTACTTGACTATCTGGGGGAAAACAATTTTACACTACAACAAAAACTGATCTTATACAGGATATGCAACATTCATATGAATCATTTAAATGATCATGACAATGATAATGCCCATAATAATGCTTTTTTGAATCCTTACTATGGCTCAGTAAGGAAATGGCAACCCATTCCAGTATACTTGCATGGAAAATTCCATGGACAGAGGAGCCTGGCAGGCTATAGTCTATGGGGTCACACAGAGTTGGACACGACTGAGTGACTAACACAACAATCTCTTATACTGCTGATGATAAAACTTGGTACAACTATTGTGGAAAACTGGTAAAAATCTTAATAAATCTGAACATACGCATGACCAAACATTTAACAGATGTTAAGTGCTGATGTTTACCTAAAGGTATATGTTTATAGTAGCTTTTCCATAACAGCCAAAAATTAGAAATAACTCACATGTCCATAGCACTTAGAAGAGTTATGTAAGTTTCAGGGACACAGTAATAAGTGGCCAAGCCAACATTCAATCCCAAGTTTGTCTAATAACTAAGTTCATACTCTCAGCCACTACACCATACTTGAAAAAAGTTAAATTCTTATGGCAGTAGCTTCAGGCTGCAATCACAGATTCAGGTAGTAGACACCCTCTCTTCTTTGCTTGGAGGAGAGCACCTGTTAAAAAGTACAGAAAGTTCTGAGAGGAGGCTACTGCAGCAGTCCAAACAAGATGATATGGCAGAAGAAGGCACCAGAAAAGAGATTTCTTTTATAGAAAGATGAGAACCCACTAACAAATCAAACATACGAGTGAGGTGGCTTGGGCAAGAGGACAAATGGTGACAGCAGAAGTCAGCACCGATCGAGGGCTAAGTCAGGCATATTAAACTGAAGACGGGTGTCCAGGATGTACTTGGATAAAGAAATATGAAGCCCAGGAGAGAAATCAGACTGATAAAAAATGAAACAAAAACTTCCAAGTCACCAACATATGTGTATATCAGACTTCCTGAATAGAGAATAACATCTCTAAAACAATGTAACTCATGCACTCTTCTGACAACTAATATTAGCTCACAGGAAGGGTCTCTGTGGCCATCTGAAATTAATTTTGCAACTGCTAACACAGACAGAAGGCTAGTTAGAATGAAGGTGCCTGCTCTCTCCTATTGAATATCTGAAAACAGTTGTACAAAAGAAAAACATACTGCTCTTTAAGGTAAGTGGACAGTGGCTCAGGCTGCTTCTTGTTACTTGATAAAATCTTAAAATCTATTATAGCAAAGATGTAAGAGGCAGAAAGATGCAGCTTGGTTTTCTCACCAGTCACAGTATTTAAGTGGTTAATCTCTGCTTCAAAAGGCAGCTTTTTCCTGTATTTTACTTCAATATAAAAATAATGCAAAAGGAAAACCAGGATACAATTTGAGGTCACAGACACTATGTAAGAGGAGGATAGTCACTAAAAATTACATCCTCCAAACTTTGTATACTCAAAGGGTATGACTGCTTTGGGGGCAAGAGTTCTCAAAGTTCTAACCAGTGCAATAACTAAAAGAAAAAAAAAATAGGGGTACAACATAAGGATAGAAATGCACAAAACTATCATTATTTGCAAAAAGTCTGCATTACAAGAAAATCTAAGGAAATCAACAAAAAAAACCATGACCTATGATGAGAGAATTTTTGCATGGTCAATTATAAAATCTGCAAAGTAAACACCTTTTCTATATGCCGTTAGTAACTAATTTTTAGAAAAGACACATTGAAACAATATCCCATTTCCAACAGTATATATTAAATATCTACACTCCCCAAAAGTGTAGACCAGTGAGGGGTATAAAAGAGTAAATGAAAGAATAGACCACGCTCTTAAATAGAAGATCAACTATTAAAACTACATCAATTTATCCATAACTAACATGTAAATTTAATACAGTTTTAGTAAATACCACAATAGGAGAGTCTCTAAAATTTGACAAAATGATTTTAAAGTTCATTTGGTGGGAGAGGGAGAGACAAGAATATCCTAGATGTTAAAAATAATAATGATGATATGAGATTTGTAGTAGATGAAAAATATAGAGCAACCGTAAATAAAACTATACATTAGAGCACAAATCGCCCAATAGCTCAGTAGAATGATACAGCAATGTCCAAAATCATATCAATATAAAATAACCAATGTTGCGATAGAAAATAGTTTGAAAATTAAAGATCTTTATAAAAGAAATTTTTTAAATAGTCAACCCAATAGACAGCAGAGAAATGTAAATCAAAATAATAACATACCGCTTTTAAACACCAAGCTGACCTTTTAGTTTTAACAGTAATGCCTACTGTTAGCTTTTATCCACTGTTTGTAGAACTGAAATAGATACAGCCCTTCTGAGAGCAATTTAGCAATATGTATCAGAAGTCTTAATGTTCTAAGTAAGCCCATTTAACCAAAGGAAATAATGAAAGACACGTTCAAAGATTGATCTACAAACATGTTTTTCTGGATTTTACAATACCAAAAAATTTGAAACAAACTAAATGTATAACAGTGCGTGTGTGCTAAGTCACTTCAGTCATGTCTGACTCTTTGCAATCCAATGGACTGTACTGTAGCCCACCAGCCTCCTATGTCCATGGGAGAATACAGGAGTGGGTTGCCATGCCCTCCAGGGAATCTTCCCGACCCGTGTCTTTTATGTCTCCTGCACTGGCAGTTGGGTTCTTTACCACTAATACCACCTGGGAAGCCTGTGTAACAGCAGGGAAATAGATTAAATACATGATGATAAAAGACCTTCATTTAATAAAATGAAAGACCATTTAATAAAACGAAGAAATGTTTAAAATTAAGTGGAAAATATTTTCATGTATAATATTTATGTAATTAGATACAGCTAATATATATGGGTGTTCATTGGAAGGACTGATGCTGAAGCTGAAACTCCAGTACTTTGACCACCTCATGCGAAGAGCTGACTCATTGGAAAAGACCCTGATGCTGGGAGGGACTGAGGGCAGGAGGAGAAGGGGATGACAGAGGATGAGATGGTTGGATGGCATCACCGACTCGATGGACATGGGTTTGAGTAAGCTCTGGGAGTTGGTGATGGACAGGGAGGCCTGGCGTGCTGTGATTCATGGGGTCACAAAGAGTCGGACACGACTGAGTGACTGAACTGAACTGAATATATATCACATATTTTAAAAACCAAGAATCTGTGACTATATACACAATATAATAGAATGGTTGAAAATATCTGTTTTAGACCTCATATGCCAATTTCTACATCTCTCTCAGAGGCCAGCTTGAGTTCTGCCTGTTTCACAGAGCTTCCTCAAGTCTATATCACTTTCTGCCTCCTCTGGAAGGACAGAATCTTGGCAGTGAATTAGGATGCTTTCCTTTTTTAATACCTATCACAACCCTCTGCCCCTAATTAAAAGTCTTTCTAATCTATCCAATAATTGGGCTAATATATACATCGCAAAGGTTAGGAAAACAGGGTATAAAACCAGCTCTTGACATACTTACAGCTATCTGTCCCTACACTAAATGGCCCTATCTAGATATCTATGCTATTTTAGTTTTTAAACTTGCCTTAACTTCTTAATGCTATCATTATATTTGTCTCTAGAAACCTGAGCCCTGTTTTTCATCCTTTTAACATCAAGAAATCAGATCATCTGGCTTATAAGGATTGCTTATAAACTAAGAGTAAATAGGCAAAGAGAAAAGTGTGTAGGCAACTTTCTTGAGAATAAAACTGCCAAAACATCACGGTCCTTGGTAGCTTTCCAAGGCTTTTATCTGACACTCATGGATGAGAGAGACTTTATAGAAGTCCAGCATTCTCTAGGGGCGATTCCAGCATGCCACTGAAGTAAAGGCTTTTTTCTTTACCATTCCTTTCTAATACCTGACTGTGTTCTAGAGAAATGAAGATCCTGGGTCATTTAAATAATATAATTAATCTCCATAATGTCCTACAGTAAAATTCTAAGATACAAATGTAACTAAACTTATTTCCCACCATATGGATGAATTCATAAATTTATTGTTGCCTCAGCTATTAACCTTCTCTTTCTCATTTAAATAATATTATATTACTATTACCATTTATGGAATTCCAGGTACCATGTTAGGTGCTTCACATATATTATTTATAATCCTATCACAACTGTGTACAGAATGAATGGAATCATAATTTTCTGAATAAGAAATAAGAGGCAAAGAGAAGTTAAACAATAACTTCCCCAAAATTCCCAAGCCAGGATGAATTGGAGCAGGCATTCAAGTCTGGGTCTGTCTCCCGCCAAACCCCACCCTCTTTCCACTCTTCAGGGACCATCGTGAGCATCTACTAGACATCAAGTCTCTAAGAATTTTACATTTCATTTATCTAGAAAAGACTAAGGGGATATTTCTCTGTCATTACAATTCAGCTCTCTTGAGGAGACTAAATATGTCTCTATCACCAGAGTTAAAAATCCACCAAAGAAACAGTGTGAAGGATTCACAGCAATAATACTCCATCTCTGACAAAGCATAATGTGTGCTTCCTTAATTTAATGGATATATCATACTGATACAGCTTTTGGCTAGTTTTACACATATCCACAGCACATGTGAAGAGCATAAGAACACTGCATTTGACAAGCTATTAGATCTTGAGGTCAGAGGCCAAGTCTCACCTATCTCTATATTCCCAAGCCCTGTATGTGGCAGATGTCCAACACCTCTTTGTTAATGAAAGCTAGAAGCAATGATTATCACCTTCTGAAAGTAATATATTAAGATAATTAAAACATTTTGAGCATCAGAAAAGAAAAATATCCCATGTTTCAAACAAACTGGTTTTGGTCTGCAGGTAAACTTCCTACCTCTCGATCCTTGAGTTTCATGGCAAGCACCAACTGATGCCTGTGGTTAGTGAGAGCCTCCCGGTAATTTCCTTTGGAGAAGAATGCAGAGCCCAGGTTCCCATGAGCTCGGCATTCTCCTGTCTGGTCACCTGAATTGGGTTTAAAAAAAAAGAGAATATTTCTCTAAGTTACAGCATTATTTATAATATATAAAGGCCATCTTAATTTGATAGCCACAGGTTTACTACTTAAAATTCCATTTGCCTTTTTTTCTTCCTCTGAAAGACTCCATGTGGGAAGTTATGGTCCTAGAAGTTAAACCTTTGGACAACCGTTATTGATGTTATAACATATAACAGGGACATAAGTTTCCTGGAAATGAGAGGTCCTTGCTTTGGTTCTGAACAACCATCATCTTGTTGGTTGGTTCAGTCATTTGACTCCAACCCTATTATAATATGTTGCTTCTTTACAAGCATGCCAATGGTAGACTCACCACATCTCTTCTCTTACTGCAATCTTCCAAGTCCTTAAATAATCAATGTAATGATTATTATAAACCATCTTTTTTAGTTTTTTTTAAATGAGGAAACAACTGCACAGAGATGTTAGGCAACTTGCCAAAAGTCACACAGTCAGTAAGTAGCAGAGTCAAGATTCTAAACTCAGCAGTCTGGCTCCTCAGTCCACACTCTAAACTACTGCTCTGAACTGTCTACTCCAACAAAATGATGGTGCATTCTCGTAGGCAAAAGTGTAAATTTAAGTGAAAGATCCCACAAATACCACCATTTGAGATATTAAATCAGTGAGCCCATATCTGAAAAGGCAATGAGTAGGTTCATCCATATCTTTTGGCCTTTTGGAAACTTAATACCTTGTTAAATGAAAAGCCCTAAAGACATGAGTACTCTAAAACACAGAATGTTCTAGAGGCAGAATCACTTTTCACTGCACATTTCAATCCCATTCACGTCAGGTTAATCCGTTTTCTTCATTTCCTTTCTGCACTAAAATAAAGGAGAAAAACAAAACTCTACCTAAGGTCTTGGCTACATCCAAGTCCTGCTGCATGTATCCCGTGCTCTTCTCTGTGTTTCCGAGAGACCAGTAAGCACTGCTCAGTGCAGAGAAAACGGAACCTCTCAGTTTGAGGCTGCAGGTGCCAATCTTCAGAGCGGCTTCTAAGACAACCACAGAGGCCCCGTGATGCCCAGCTGTCAGGAGTTCCTGCCCAACCACAGAGACAACCACAAAGGGGCTCTTGTCCAGTTTCATTTTCTGAAGCTGCTGATAAGTGGGCTCGAGGGAGTCTGAAGAAAAACAAAAGAAAACAGAGAATGTAGGAGAATACACAAAACAATCCTTTCTAACATGCTCTAGAAACAACGGTCTCTCAAACTTTCTATGGTCCATTTCAGGTACAAACTCTTCCAGCTTTTCATCCAGCACCATCCTCACTGTCCACTCATTCACATGACTGGACAACACCAAGGTCAGTCCAGCAATTTCCCTACTTCAATCTCACAGGTGTACGCCACACTCTTCCTCTCTTCTGGTTTTTCTTTGATTAGGACCCATCACTTTCCCTGAATAGTTCTCTCTTCTCTGACCTGCTGCCCTCTCAAAGTATCACAGGTACATCACTCAAGTCCCACTGCTACCATATCCAAGCAGACCTCAGAGATGCTGTGGGTCTGTCTGCAGACCACTGCAATAGAGCGAATGTTACAATAAAACAAATCGCATGCAATGTTTGGCTTCCACACATATCCAAGTTATGTCTACACTATACTGTAGTCTATTAGGTGTGCAATGGCATTGTGTCTAAAAAAAATCCCATTAATTAAAAATACTTTATTGCTAAAAAATGCTAACCATCATCTTGAGCCTTCAGTGATACAATAGCAACATCAAAAGTAACAGATCACAGACCACCAGAACAAATACAATAATAATGAAAAGGTTTGAAATATTGCAAGAATTGTCAAAATGTGATACAGAGACATGAAGTGAGCAAATGCTGTTGGAAAAATGGCACCAATAGACTCACTCGATGCAAGGTTGATGCAGACCTTCCATTTAGTAAAAAAAAAAAAAAAAGAAACAATATCTGTGAAGCACAATAAAGTGAAATGCAGTAATAGGAGGTATGCCTGTACTATCCCCAGGTCCTCCAGTCCACATTAATCTCTGTATCTAAACTTCTGATATATGTTTATAGTTAGTATTGCAGTTTGGCCCTTAACTTTTTTAGAGATGTTTCATGTGTGTTAATTTTTAAAATATTTTCCCAGCTAAATCTGAATACCATTATAGGACTGTTTAATACTTTATTATAAACCATTTCTATATAGGTGAAAGCTCCTAACACATCTGACATTCAATGAATGAAATGTTTGTTAAACCTGAATCTGAATGACTGATTAATAAACTCTGTCCACCTTTTCCCCTAGAAGATATAAAAGCAGCTCTCTCAACAAATAGCCATCATCCTCACTGGCAACCCAGTGTACCCTGCTGTTCCTGAGACTAGCATGACCACATTAAAACGTACTATCAATTTCTGTTGTGGTGACAAATGAAACCATAAAGAAATCATCTGAGTTTACTAAGGTAAGATGAAAGACAAAATTAATGTTTAGCTGGTTTTATTTTCAAGTGGTGAAAAAGACATAGATTAGGGGTCAGGAAGCCACAAGGAGATTCTTTCCATCTGAAGCTAGGTTTCAAAGTGGATGACCTTTAAGCTCCTCCTTCCTCTTCTCCTTTTTCCAAAGACAATCCCAGAGCTAATGACTATAACCCTACAGTGAGGCAGCACTTACAACACTTTTGTTGTTAGCTTCCCTGAAAAACTGTTTCACATTAGTTGTTCCACTGTGCCTATGTTTAAAGAAAAAAAAAAAAAAAAGGTTGGTCTCTTTAAATTGTGAATCTCTCAGCCAACAGTACTGCATTAAAATATAATTTTTACAATTTATGACTTCAAATCTCCACTCACTAAGGTGCTCTCGTCTGAATCAACATTACCACGGAAACCTTGAAACCTACTGGTGCCTAGAGCATTTTTTTCCCTTCAATCAGATCACTAAACCGAGAACAAAGAAGATTTTTTACACCTGTCAAGATGCAAGCAGTGCACAACACCAGTAAACACTTGCTAACCAATAGGGTTAAATACAGGCAAAGAACCCAGGAATTGCTGGAACAGGAAAAGAACAATGCCATACTCAAACAACTGGGAGCAGAATTTTGGTGGTACCCGCTGGACTTGGCAGCCAGTGATGAGCATATTAGCACACCACTGGCCAATCAGCAGGAGAAAAAAATAACAATTTTAGAGCTGAAGAGAACTTGAAACCACCCTTTATTTTAGAAAAGAAGAATCTGAGTATTCAAGTGATTCATGCAAGGGCAGATAGCTTGGGACAGAGCCACGACAGGAACCCATGGCAGGAATCTAAGTTCAGGCTCTCTGATACCATACCACACAACATTCTTAGTTGTTCACACATCAGTTAGATGTGTGACATCAATTAGAGCTGATTTTAAGTGGAGAAGAAAGGTACTGAGATGCTACTGGAAAGGGGATGTGGGTTCAATCCCTGGTCAGGGAGCTGAGATTCCAAATGCCTTTCAGCCAAAAAACCAAAACATAAAACAAAAGCAATGATATAACAAATTCAATAAAGATTTTTTAAAAAACTGTATAGGCTGGATTAGGTGATCTATAAGGTTTCATCCCAACTCTACTATTCTACAATTCTAATTCCTATCCTACAATAAATTTAGGCTGTTAGCAAAAGGACTAACTGTGTGATTTTCTCAGGCTAGATGGAACAGGGATTTGGCAGCCCTGTAAAGATATTTTTCTTTATAGAAATTATGCATAATACATAAAATATCCAATGTCAAAACAACTTCATAAGAATGTAAAATTATTTTGCAACAATTACTGAACACTAGTTATGTGCTTTCAAAATGTAAAGGCTTTAAGAATTTAAGATAAACAAAGTCATATTTCCTCACACTTGAAAAACTTGAAGGAATGTAGTATTAAATAGAAGCTAGTAGCAGACAAATAATCATACTCAGTTAAAAGACATATTATATTTATTTCATCAGTACTACATGTTTATTCACCTATTAACATCTGTGAATTTGAGATTTAATATCCATGAACTCACACTTCCTTAGTGGCTCAGTGGTATAGAATCTGCCTGCCAATGCAGGAGATGTAGGTTCGATCCCTGGGGAGGGATGATCCCCTGGAGAAGGAAATAGTAATCTACTCCAATATTCTTGCCTGAGAAATCCCGTGGACAGAGGAGCCTGGCAGGCTATAGTCCACAGGGTCACAAAGAGTCAGACACGACTGAAGTGACTAGACAACAGCAACAATCCAGAACTCAACGGTGCCTTGCAATGGTTGGATATTTCTGTATCTGTGCTGTGCTGAGTTGGGTCAGTCTGTTTGACTCTTTGTGACCCCATGAACTGTGGCCCACCAGGCTCCTCTGTCCATGGGGATGCTCCAGGCAAGAATAATAGAGTGGGTTGCCATGCCCGCCTCCAGAGGAATCTTCCCAATCCAGGGATTGAACCCAGGTCTCCTGCATTGCAGGCAGATTCTTTACCTTTTGAGCCACCAGGGAAGCCCATTCCTTTGTCTAAAAGTAAAAGTGAAGTGTTAGTCACTCAGCTGTGTCAGACTCTGTGACCACACGGAATATAGTCCACCAGGCTCCTCTGTTCACGGGATTCTCCAGGCAAGAACACTGGAGTGGTTGCCATGCCCTTCTCCAGGGGATCTTCCTGACGAAGGGATCGAACCCAGGTCTCCCACATTGCAAGCAGATACTTTACTGTCTGAGCCATCTGGAGTCGATTTTCTTAATAATATGTAAAATAATGATACAACTTTCAATCCAGATTTCTCAGAACTGGTAGGATATGCTATGGGACCCCTGGGGAGAAAGGAAGGCAGGTCCCAGGTAGGTCTGAGAATGCTTTCTGGAGGTAAGTGATATCGGAACAGAAATGGAGCTTTGAGAAACCAGTGTTTTCCAGGAGCTGCAGGTAGTTTTAGCTGGGAGTATCTTAGTGATGAGAACAAAAGAGGTAAGATCTTTTATACTAAAGCAGTTGGCCTTTATCCTGCAGGCAAAAGGGAAAATATAGAATTATGAATAAGAGAATGACAGATCACATTTACATTGCATAAAACTCGTTCTGGAAGGAAAGTAAAAGCAGGGACTGGAAAGAAGCCTGGAAAGTCAGTGAGGGGAAAGGTTCTATGTTTTGTGACAAAACAGGTGGAAAACAAGAGATAAATTTAGGACACATTTAGAATTTAAAAATCCACAGAATTGAGGAATAAATGTATTAACAGGTACAATGCCTTATTCCAAAGGGATGATAGTATACTGACTGTCTCCTATGATGAATCATTCTTAAGGTAACTGAAATTGTGCAGACTTCAATCTGTCCCAGGTACTAAGAAGACATTCTGGAGCCTTCCATTTTATCCTTATAACATTTCATTAAGGCTTCAACTTTCCTAAAAACCTGGTGATATCACTACCAGTTACTATTGGATACAATATAACACTAAACTGAAAACTCAGAAGACCGGGAAAAACAATTTTGGAATGAATCTCCAGAACAGGGATCCAGAGAGAACAGCAACTGCTAACACATAAGTTAGCAAGCAAAGTGTAATGAGAGTAAAGTATTGCCCATAAACAAAGTTTAGAGATAAGGTTCATAATATTAACTTAATTTTAATTTATATCTTTTCTTAAGCAAATTCCTTATAGAGGAAACTAAGTTAAAGATCACCGGGCATGTCACAAAAAGGACAAATACTGTGTGATTCCACTTACGGGAGGTACCTTGGTAGTCATCAGGAGCTGGGGTGGGTTGGGGGAGGGATGAGGAGTTATTGTTTAAACAGGTACAAAATGCCAATCCAGGAGGATGAAAATCTGGAGACAGATGAAGGGCTGGCTGCACAACCCTGTACGTATACTTAACACCACATAACCACACAACTAAAAATGGTCAATTTGATGTTATGTACATTTTACCACAATTGGAGGAAAAAAAAAAAAGCTTTGGTTCATACTAAAAGGAAAACATAACTCTACTCAAAAAAATAAAAAAAAGAAAAACTGACACGTTTAGCTCTCTAGGTCACTTCATATTTTTCTGGGTTCATTTATGAATTTATTTATATCCTACTTCATTCCAAAAGGATTCGAAGACCTTCTATAGAAATAAGGCAGAAGACATGGTAGTCAGAGTGACTGGAAAGTAAAGTAAGGAAAATTCAGCTTAAAGATTGTTAAAGTCCTGGCACACTTCTTTAAGGTAGCCAGGACACTGGGTTCTACTGCTTCACAGAGGACAAAGCAAAAGAATCAAGGATCACTTTAGGTTAGTTCTCAGACCTTTTATATAAAAATACACTAACACTCAGGCAAAAGGCAGTTTTTCTAGGAACCAAGTGCTTAGCAAGAGGATCATGTGTACTGTGCAGTGTTTGTTCAATATCCACAGCACAAAGACAAGAGCAAGCTTATCACCACTGCGACTTCTCTCTCCAAGAGAAGAGGCGCATCATACTGCAGGGGGGAGGTGTCCAAAGGGGCCTGCCTTTACTGCCAGGGCTTGATTCTCAAAACAACAGTACAAGCTACTCACTATCACGCCCCTTTTACAGATACGAACTGAGAAGCAGAGAAAGGAAGAACCTTGCCCAGTCAACGGGATAGCAGATGGCAGTGCTGGGATCAGAGTCCCAGTCTTTTCAGGAAAAGTCAGTTCTGTTTCGTTTTCAACATTTCAGAAACAGGCCATCTGTGAAAAGTGACTGCCTTCTAAAAGAAAATCAGACAAAAAGAGTTATCAAAGGTGGACAATCAGGTAAGTAAAAGGTGAACACAAATTTGACTATGAGAGAAAAGCTTATACACATTCCAGCCATTTTCCACCAGTACATAACAAAAATCAGCTTCCTGGATCCTCTGGAGCTGAAAGAAACACCACGACAGGTGATAGCCCATAAATGTAATAGTCTTTAGATTACCGAATTAACAAGAGGGGAGAAAATATACACGAGAGAGCCCTCAGCAAGAAGCAGCCCTGCCATCTTTAGAGGAACAAATGAAGGTAAACTCAATCTCACTTTGTAATTGTATTACTAAATCTGTGGTTGGCAGCAGGACTATGCGACACCATCCAAATCTGCATAAACATTTATAAGATATAAAGAACTGAAATTGCTGCAAGACGATCTAAAAAAGAAAAATGGAAAATAGTAAAAGGACTTGAGAGTCATGAAAGAGTCCCACTTTATATGAATACTCATATTTGTATATTTTCATAACTGATTTAAGGGAAATACATTACATACAGTGATGTAAATATATTTAGAAGAAAAGTAGATAATCTGATATCTGGTTGATGAGCATGAATGAACCACAAAAATAAAGTAAAAAAGACAATGCAATTATCAAAATAGGGAACATTTTAAAAAATCAAGGAAGTTTTGATGTGGATTAATACAACGGAGTTATTTGGGAACAAGGGTATATTATCCCTATCTTTTAAAAAAAAAAAAAATTGAAACTTCCCCCAAAGGCCAAATGATAAGAATGCTATGCTTTGGGGGAGTTTTGTTTGCTTACAGAAGCACCTGGACCAGGGAGTCTCCATGTTGCATTTCAGATTCATTTTGCATTTCAAAGCAAAAACAATGGACACATAGATCAGACCTACACAGAAAGCATCCTGGACTGCACAGCTACTCAACAATGGCAGAAAAGGAGAACACTGCAGGAGATTACAACAAACAGTGGGCAAAAAATGATGACAGATTTTGTGAATTGTAACTGTATGACAAAAAGAAAGGTCATTAAGATGCAAAATGATAAACAGAACAACACTGTGTAAAGCAACAGTTTTTCTGTAAAATGTTGATAAAAAAAGCCCACCTGGAATAGATACAGTGGTAAAGGCAATGCCAAAAATACATGAGATAAGTCATTTTAAGGATAAAGAAGAAAATACTGAAGTGCTCCAGGCACCTGTAAGATGTAGCTTTCTGCAGGGTCACCCTGAGGTCACTCTGTAAGATGGGAAAGAACACGGGCACAGAAAACCCTAAGGGTGACAGCAGCCTGAGCTACTTCTTGCAGCACAGAGAAGATTTTTTTACATTTATCTAAATAAATTGCTTCAAAGGCAAACTGGTAAGTATGATTCTGCTGATCTCAACACATTCACTCCAATGTTCTAAAGGCAGCAGCAGAAATACCTCAGAATAAAGGGATATCTTCATGAACTAAATAAAAAATGATCTATGTAAATTACTTGCAGAGGGATATAGGGAGAGAATGAGAAAATACTAGAAAAGTAGAAAAGAGAGAGAGATTGATTTTCCTTGTTGCTGTCCATCTCCCCTCCCTCCCTTCCCACTCCTGGCGCTCCGAAGCGCGGCTGCTCTTGGTCAGAGTTTATTAAAGCAGGGCCCCCAGTGGGAGAAGCCATTAGGCTCCTGCAGCAAAGACTTGGCTTTGCATGGGGTTATAAAATCGCAGGAAGAGAGGTTTCCTTCCCACTTTTTTTCTAAAACATGAAATCTTCGCTTTCAGGAAAGTATTTTTTATAGCTATGAATTGCTCAGAAACCATATGAGTACCATTTAGTTCATCAAACTTTTACTTAGCACATAAATATTTTGAGCCAAGTATCAAACTAGCCAGTATATTAAAATTATCTAATGCTGCAAATATTTTCAAAACTAAATAAATTACCTAATGATACTGCCATCCATGTTTTTAGGTACACTCAAAAACATACCATGTCAGAGACAAAAACAGAGTTCTGCTTGACATCATCTAGTTAGTGTGGGACATCATTAGCATCAACCTGACTTAGTGTTTCCATTATTCCGCAAAGGTGACAACTGGTATACACTTTCAGCCCAATCCTCCCAAGAATTCTTTCCACAAAAATCAATGTTCCTCAAACAGAAGCCTTAGAACACCTATCTGAGCCTTAGAACACCTCCAACCTTCACAGTACTATTTTCAATCTGTTGTTCCAGAATACCAATTGGTATAACACAGAAGTAATACAGGTAAAAACCACATATCTACTTATTTTTCTCTTTCCTTTTAATTCAACATAATCTTTTAATGTTCCTCTGAAAAATGTTAGACATAGCCTACAGTTAGATCCATATTTCCTCTTAAGAAATGTCTAATGTCTTCTCTCATTTGTTTATTTCTAGATGGCATATTGGTCCAGCTGAGCAGATCAATTTACTACTAGAGGTGTTTTGTTTTAGATGTACAGAACCTGACAACTACAAAAAACATAAGAATTCTTTATATAACCCTAAAACCCAGAGAAGTTGTATAGTTAGTTAACGAAATATTCAAAAATACAATCTAGGTCCACAAAGTTCCAGACAAGTGGCCTTACCACTGTCCCATTGTGCCTCATTAATGTCAGCAATTGACAGTGATTTCCAATTTTCCTCTGTCTAAAATATCCAATCTTAGCTAATATGATAACCTATCAATTCTCAATGCCTGAGTCAAAATCTTCAAAGAATAGAAATGTTCTGACTTAAATTAGTGTTGGGACAAATACTTTTATCATATTTACCTCTCATGGGAGATTTCATGGCTGCTTCCACCATCCCCACCAGAAGCTGGAGACTCTTGGGGTCCTGAGCCAACCCAGATGCAAAGGCTGCCAGGGCATCGGCATGACGTCCAAGGTACTGGAGGGCAACACCCTGTCGGAAGTATGCCTGGAAATAAATAAAAGATAATGCATGTATTACTTATACACTAGGCTCCACCAGGCTGAGGAGGATTCTTAACTAGAACAACAGGTCAGCAGAACTAACACTGAGGTGGTCTCAGTTCAAAAACCTAGTAAAGAGTTTGTAATCAAATTTGACTTCTCTAAACATCATAAAATGTAAGCACACTTCTTGCAGGCAAATTATATTTAAAACTTTCATTCTTTTGACTTCTAGAACATATTAATTTTATCACATTCTTTGGTACTTATTCAAATAGTATATAATATTTTACCATTTTTTGATGATTTTAAAAACCTTTTACCCCAATTTAATAGCATAAGTTCCTCAAGGACAGGGGTTTGGAGATTTCTTTACATCTCACCAAAGTATCTAGTACAGTGCAAGACAAATGAGAGACACTCCAATTTCACTTATTTTGTTTTCTCCTCATTAATTAAAGGAATATATCAGCATGTGATTAGTATTAAGATAATTGTAATAATGAGTAACACAACATGGCTATATTTTTTTTTAACATGGTTACATTTAATGTGGTATTTCAGACATAGTATTTTAAAACCATTATTTAAAATACATGTGCTTTGCTTGAAACAAAATAAGATTGCTGTTGTTTGCATCTTTTAATTTGATTAGTTTAAAAACTGGTATTATCAACTGTGAATATAAAAAAAAAAAAATCCCTCCTTCCAGCTAATTACAGAAAGGGCCAGAAAATTAATAAAATATTTAAACTTCATAATGATCATAAGAACTTATAGTTTATTTTCGAACACAGAGTAAAATCAAGTAAATGATCAAAGTGTTTCAAGTATATAACCAGCAAAGGATTTTGAACCTGATTAAATAACACATAAAACTGACATATTATTAATGCATTCATTGTTTATATGACATCTGCTTCTAAAATACTTGGCCTATTTAAATATTTTTACAACACTCTATGCTTGTAACACAAATGTAACTTTTTCATCCAATATTCTTTTCAATTGTAACAAATTGTATTTATGGGCTCTAAATGAAGTTTCAAACAACTTCTAAAACTACTATTCAAATTTAATACATAATTTTATATTATGTATACACACTATGAGAGAGCACCTTTCATGTTTACAAAACATAATTACTTACCTTATTTCATTTTTACAACTATGCTTTGAGGTAATTTAAGATAAGCAATACTATTCAGTGTTTCTATTAAAAAACAATCCATAAACAGAATGAATACTCAAATTATTATGGTCTATTCAGACTTCTATTAGTTTAAACTACCAGCAGCTGTTAAAACTCAGACTTCAGTAAGACAATAACCTGTAAATGCACTTTCATCACTAATTCATAAGATCACTTCCTTTCAGTGGACTCAGTCACTTTTTAATCTTTAATGTGTTTATACACATTTTTCACTACCCTTTTCATCTAACATTTTAGGTGATTTCTATAATCCAAGAGGCAACATGTACCACATTCCAACTAAAAATAACTATAGTTTATATAATTCTAGAAATGCTACATTAAAGCTAAATTTAAAAATTTATGTGTGTGTGTGTGTGTGTGTGTGTATGGATTTCCCAGGCGGCACTAGTGGTAAAGAACCTGCCTGCCAATCAATGCAGGAGATGAAAGAGATAGGGATTCGATCCCTGGGTCATGAAGATCCCCTGGAGGAGGGGATGACAGCCCACACCAGTATTCTTGCCTGGAGAATTCCATGGACAGAGGAGCCTGGCGGGCTACAGCCCATGAGGTCACACAAAACTGAAGCAAGTGAGCACAGCACAGCACACATGTATATGTAAATATATACATGAAATATTTACAAACTATTACTTATGAAGAGAGACAAAATAAGTCTGTGGTTAATGATTTCAGGTATATATTTTAAGAAATGCAATAATCTATAATGGTAATCATTTCAAAATATATTTAAGTCAAGTCATTTCACTATATACCTTAAACTATTAACATAGTGCTGTAAGTCAATTAAATCTCAATAAAACTGGAGAAAAAGCATAAAAAATTTAATTAGTCTCGATGAATTTTGATAATTTTTTATGTTTAAATCAAAGCATATCATTCATTACTTCACTGAGAAAATAACTGATTTTCCTATCTCCCAAATGAAGTCTCAGAAAAGTATGATGAATATACTGCTTAGTGGTTCAATGTTAATGGAAAGGTATGACATCAAATAAACAAAGGAGTTGCTTCCCTGGAAGCTCAGCTGGTAAAGAATCCACCTGCAATGCAACAGACCCTGATTCAATTCCTGGGTCTGGAAGATGCCCTGGAGAAGGGATAGGCTACCCACTCCAATATTTTTGGGCTTTCCTTGTGGCTCAGACAGTAAAGAACTGCCTGCAATGCAGGAGACCTGGGTTGGATCCCTGGGTTGGGAAGATCCCCTGGAGGAATACATCGCAGCCCACTCCAGTATTCTTGCCTGGAGAATTCCCATGGACAGAGGAGCCTGGCGGGCCACAGTCCATGGGGTCTCAAAGAGTCGGACATGACTGGTCAGCTAAGCACAGCACAACACATACACATTTTGTTTTCTTACTTAGCACTCTCAGAAATTAGATGAGGAAAGATATGACTGGATCACGCTGCCCAGAGTCTCAGTTTCCTTCCTGAGAAGATTCTGAAAAGAGGTAAAGGTGAGAAGGCCCGAAGACCTCCCCTGACCCTCCCTCTGTCCTTCCAGAATGACCCTCCCTCTGTCATTCCAGAATCCCCCACCCAACGCCAAAGACCTCCCCGACCCTCCCTCTGTCCTTCCAGAATCCCCAACCCAACGTCACCAGACTTTCTATTAAAAGCTTAGAGTTGTCAGCACAGTGCCTGACATAGAGTAAATACTTAACAAAGTAAGCTATTTTGATTATTAATTAATGAGGAAAACAAGAAAACATAATTACAGACTAACAGAACATAAGGAGAGTCCAATAAATATTTAAAACATTTCATTATTCACTGTAACAGCATTCAATTCCTATCACTGCTTTATTCACTCCTCCCTCTTGCTCCATGTAAGACTATTAGCAACTGGGGAACTCACTGCTGTAAGGCTCCCAGACAAAACCTGAACCACCCGACTAAAAGAAGTTGGTACTAACAGGTCTTGGGAGATGTAGCAACCCCCACCCCCACAGGATTCTCTGTCAGTCTCTCCTAAAGGAAAGATCAAGAAGCACTGAGTTTCACTGCTGTTTACTAAACTTAAAGAAAACTGATGTGACCTAATTCTTGTCTTACTATCACAGGTTTCATAGGAAGCAGCAGCATCTGGGAAAGGGACAAATCTGGGTCACTTAGGATTGAGCCCAGCCAACCTCAGATAATACACTCCCTGTTTCAGCACTCCTCATGTATATACACACATTCCGGTCACTGTTATGCAACAGACAGAGAAGGGAAGACAATAAGGACTGACTTTTGAGAGCCCCTATGCCCTGAGAACAATGGTTTTAACCTGAAGCTTTAGCCAAGAAGAAAGACTTGTAAGGAGCTAGGTAATACACTGGACTACAAGGGGAATGCCTAGATTTTAAAGTGTTATAGAGTTATTTATATATTTGTTGTTTACCACAAAGAATCTTCAGTGATTATTCCACACATGCTACTAAGTAATCTCAGAAATAATAGAAATACAAGTAGATTACAAGTATGGTTTCATTCCTTCCATACTACTTCAATTAACATTCTCTAAAAATCCACAGAAGCAGGTACTGTGATATGCACCACAAATAAAAAGAAATAAAGATAGGACTTGGACTCAAGGTGCTCACAGTCTAGAGGGAAAGAGTATAAAATTTCTTGACTTCTACCTACAATAACTGTTACAATAGGAAGGGTTTATAACATTTTAGCAGTAATAAAAATGTAATTAATGACCAAAGTGCTTACATCCTTTGGTTAAAATTGTCAGTATTTTGTCCTTAGTGAATGTACATTCTTCTCATCTCAGAGAGTTTGCTAGACTGTGTGTGTCACTCCAAAATTAATAAGTTGAAACCTAATCGCTAGTGTGATGGTATTTGGAGGTGGGGCTTTGGGGAGGTGATTAGACAATGAGTCTCAAGAGTCTCTAATTCCTTTAAGAGTGGGATTAGTGCCCTTATAAAAGTGACTCCAGAGTGCTCTCTCTTTCCTTCTACCACATGAGACCAGGCACAGCAAGAAGACGTCAGGAAATCAGCCCTTACCAGATACCAAATCTGCCATCACCTTGATCCTGGACTTCCCAACCTCCAGAACTGTGAAAAATAAATGTTATTTAAGCCACCTAGTCTACAGTATTTTGTTATTTCAGTCCAAACAGACTAAGATAGGGTTAAAGTAAAAACACTCAAAGGCTAAACATGTGAAACAGTAAGCTATTCACCCCTCAAGTACCCCTGAAAGCAATGAAGGACCTTTAAGTCTTTTCTTTCAACAATCTATTCACAATTCTAAAACATCACTGAACTCAATAATAACCTAAACTTCCTCCTCTTCCATGGTTCAAATGAGTAATAAGATAAATTATGCTCATAGGTACATATGTACATTCATAACAAAAAATATAACAAAAAATAAATGTATATAATATGTAATGATACATAAAATTAAGTCTTTACTTACATGTACAGTATAATCTATTACTTAGTACAAGTGCTCCCAAACACTCCACCTTCGATTTAATCTGTACTTTTAAATGATATACTTTAATGTTCCTAACCTGTTTTTCACTGTTTGAATTTGAACTTTTTTTTAACATCTTCTGAAGAATAAATATCTCTATACAGGGTAGTATACTTGCCAGCCCATCATACCACCTGCTACCATAACATCACCATCTTGTCAACAATACTGGTAAGTCACAGAACTATTCCACTGACTTTTCCCTTGCTAGTTCATTTTAAAATGAGGAGAAATTGCAAAAACAGAAATGCTGATTTTAGTTTTTAAAAGCACCAGCATTAAACTACAATCTAACCATGATT